TGGTGGCCAGATTCTTTTCTGGATGTAAGTTTATCCTTAAACTGTACGTGCTGTAAGTTTTGCTTATTAAAGATATACTACACTATTAGAAGCTTCTCTGGGTCTCATCTATTGCATGGGAGCCCGCTTTTGAAGGTTCCTGTTGGTTTGGAGTGATGTGTGATTACCCCCTCCCCCGCTGATGATTTTTCTGGTGGATGACTTACGAATATACCTGGATTGATGACATCTGGTGGCCAACCTGCAGATGACATCCTCCTAATATCACAAGTCCAGAGCACCAGGAGCGGGTCTTAATTGCTCCATGCGCATCTCTTGCGCTATCTGGTTAGTGCATTATTTGTACAATCACGAGATCACAAGAGTCACGATTATCTCTGACCATGGATTATTTGGACAATTGCACCTATCACTTTATCTCACCATGCGATATGGACTGAGTTCTTTCACATATGGTATTAGCTATTCATGTTCTGATTTTCCACTTGTTCCTATTAACTTTATTAGCGCTGCATATCTTGTTTTAACAAATTATTTATTTGTAATAGTTTTTTATACACTTTAAATTTTGGTTGGATTGGTGATTAAATTCTAATGCTTGGCCCAGTAACTAGATTTCTGCAGCTGGGTTTGTAGCTCTGCCAATCTCACATGTCCTTTCTCATCACCAGTAAGTGTTTTAGGCAACAAGACTCCAACAACTATTGAAGTATTGGTTTTAAGTACTCTGTACTTTAAACATCTAGACTCCTGCAATCTGTCAATTATGTTTCATCAGCAGGGTTCCCTGTGTTGAGAACATTACTTACAGTGGTCTTCACTAGCAATCACATGGGTTTGTTTACAAACAAACCTGCCAACTCCAAGTGTCAATTAGAATTGCACATACAGAGGTGCAGTCACCACTGAAGTCAGCAGGCTGCAGCTTTCATTGTACAATACAGTGAGTAAATTAAAAACTACCTGACAGACTTGAAATTCCCTAGCTATTTCTATTTGCTAACATTGTCAAAACAGAACTGTGAATATGTGATATTTCACATATGTATACAGTTAGGTCCTTATATATTTGGACACAGGCACAATTTTAGTTTTTTCAGGTATTGACCAAAACATTCAAGCTATAGTTATATAATGGATATGGGCTGAAAGTACACACTCTCAGGTTTAATTTGAGGGTATGTACATTAAAATTGGAGGAAGGGTTTAGGAATTACAGCTCTTAAGAGTAGCCATCCCCCCTTTTTCAAGGGACCAAAAGTATTTGGACGATTGAATCAAAAGCGGTCACATTTTTCAGTACCAAAAGCAGTAACCCCGAGCCACACTCGGGATTACACTGCAGTGTAACTTACCTTGTCCTGCGATCCCCAGATGTCCCCCCACTGTGTCCTCCAGCCATGCCGATGCTGGCATCATTCTTATGGGTCCCCTTCCCTGCGAGCGTCACGACGCAGGGGCGTGGAACCGGCGGGAGATTCAAAAAAGTAAAAAAACATGACATATACACAATACATTGTAATCTGTTAGGATTACATTACTGTATCAAACCATTGCACTTCAGTTTTGTCCCTTTCTGCCTGGAAACTTGAGAACGTCCATGGCGTCCAAAAAGCATCCCTTTAGGTCAAAAGCGGTTTTAGACCAGCTAAAAAAAAAACAGCAATAGTGAATTAAAATCTATTGCAGAATTGAGCGATAGTGATTCGTGGGGAAATTCGTCATCAGACACTGAAAGTGACAACAGCGACGAGCTCAGTGATGTGCGAACTTGGTGCTCTATTTCAAATTTCAGTGTTTTTGGTTTTATTACATTATTGAATTAAAATTTAATTAATTATTATATATTATATTATAATTTAGGATTTCGTGTTTCAAACTTTATCATACCCGGGATGTTTACTAGACTCTTGTTTGGATAGATTAAAAGTGAGTTTTTCCTAAGAATTACAGGCCTACAACATAAAAAACAACAAATTTCCATGCAAAACAATGTACCGATTTGACATTCAAAAATATTGACATAATCAGACTGCCAGGAAAGTTAAGAGGAACATTTGAAGACTTCCTTTTTTCCCACAAGTTTTTGCAAAGAAAGAAAATGAAAATTAATTTTTACAAAATGGTCAATTTATTAGGATATTTTTCACACACAGCATAGGCATACTTAGAATTACACTGCAAAACACATTCTGCTACTCCTCCCGAGTATGGGAATACCACATGAGACTTTTTCAGTGTTTGGACTGATTATGTACTGGATATTGTATCTTGTGTATCCCACAAATCAACGACCTGAATCAAAAACATTGTAATGTACTGTAATGGTACAAGTTGTCAGGGAATATAGCTTAGTGTAGCTTCACCTATAGCAGGCCCCGTTCAAGCCAAGCAAACCTAGCCTAATGGTACATGGCTATCCCAAGGAATGCCATGTCACTTGTCAGAAAGTATAGGCGGCAGAAGAAAGGAAGAACAAAAGAGTTTCTGTGGCTCCAACAGTGCAGTTGTCCACAGTGGGAAGGTTGGGACTGGTGTCTCACCGGAACATAGTCAGTCAGACTTGCATATGGGTCAGTTCAGGAGAGACATAGTCATTAAACAGAAAAATGCGTCATTCCAGACAGCAGGCAGAAACTTGGTCAATAAACATGCCAGGATCAGTACAGCTGGAAGGCAAAGGCAACACTGCACTGGTGTGGTGGTGATCATGAACACGGTTGCTGGCTGGTCTGGGACTTGTGTAGCATACAAGAAAATCCACCAAACAATGGCTCAGAAAGAAGAAATGTGGGGTTATGGACTGGTCTACTCAAAGCCCTGATTTGAATCCTCTTAAAAAAAGGTTGAGGGGGTGGGGGTAAAAAGGGGGCAGCTCATGCAAGGAAACCTACAAAACACTGTGCAACTGAAGGAAATTTTGCATAGAGGAGTAGTCAAGAATTTCACAAAGTTAATAAAAAAAAAACAACTGGTGGCCAGTTGTGGGGAAAGCCTACAATAAGTCAGTTTCTGCTAAAGCCTCTGAGCTCATGGGTGCTCTTATTTTTTTCCACAGTACATAATTGCACCTATTTGATATTTTGGTTAAATAATGATTGAAAAGGCACATTTTCTTTGGGTTTTTATTCAAGTATAAAATCTTGAATTAAGCTCTAATAGATGACTGTTCAAATATGTTGGAAAAAAAATAATAACCAAACAATTTCTATGGGGGGGTGTACTTACTTTCAATGTTGTCAATAGATGCATGGCATGATCTACAGCAATATTTTTTGCAATAAGTGCAGAATGTACCAAACAAGGTGTGCTTGGGGATAGATTGTTGACAACGTTTCCAACACCAGCAATAAGGTAACTTTCCAGATCACTGGACGATTTTTGGAGAAAATCACATATATTATCCTGTTTCCCCATTCTCTTGTCTTCTCCCCTCTAGAAACCGGCAGACATTCAGCCAGTGTGTATGGCAGCCTGTCCGGCTTCCTTCGCACGGGAATGCTGGAAAACCAGCAGTGGACTATTATCCAATGCATTCTGGTGGGGGGCAGGGGGGTTGCGTCAGGGGGACTGCTGTGTGTACCAGGCTTAACTTTGTCTGCAGTATCAGACAATGCAGCGATAAGCACTAACAGCCTCATTAAGTTAACCAAAGCAAACTATGTTATAAGTCACTTGAAGTACTTTGAACACCACTGTTCTGCAGTTTATTGCAAAGGTAAGGCATGATTCTAGGTGTATATGTTAATGCTTAACTGATTACTGACTGGGTTCTTTGTGTTTATTATACCCTGAATGATTCTAGCCTGCAGACTTTGGCCGTAACTCTTTAAAGCCCAACTCCAGTCAAAAATTAAACTTAAATAAGTAGTGCATTGTGCATCAATTATCTTACTCCTCAAATCTTTACGCCAAACAGGTCTTCTCAAGCCATCCTCCAGTGTAATGGATCAAAGCCACAGTTTCCTCTATAAGCAAAGCGAATATCCTGGGGACCAGACATTGTTCTCTGCTTATTATTTTATTGGGCACTGGTCCCCTTCTGCCCCATGAGTTCTCCTTTCTTATGAGCCAGTGAGAGAGAACCTGGCCACTGGAAGTGTTGCCTCCACCAACAGGAACTCTGTACATCAAGCAGACAGTGACGTGGACACCCAACCATAGAACCCCAGGAAGTAAAAAGGGAAGAAGAGAGCAGGATTGTCACATGACCATGGCTTCAGTTAAATAAAATGGCCATTTGGATAACTTTTTTTTTTATACCATCCAATACTACAGGGGATGGGAGGGAGGATTCTGCTAACATCCTGGGGTTAGTCTTATGTTTTTTTGGTTTAACTTGTTTCTTAGATACTACAAAACATTTTGGGCACATTGTAGTATTTTCCCTCTTTCTCCCAAAAAAATAAGGAGCAGATGAAGACAGAGATTCAAGACAAAAATCAGCATTTGGGTTACACTACTGTCAGGTGCTCACAATTAAAATGACAGCAATTTCCAGCTAACAATTGATGTGTTTGGCTCCCATTCCCCACACATTTACCTCCTGGTCTCAACAAGTGCCTATTACACATAAACATGCCAGGGGTGGACTGACAATTCATGGGGCCTCCGGGCAATAGGGGGATCATGGGTCCCCTGTATCCTTGCCCAAACTCAAAAAAGCCTATGAAAAAAAAAAAATAAAAAAATAAATTAAAAAAAAAAAAAAAAAAAAAAAGGTACCAGGGGCATCATGGGGGACCCCAGGACCCCGAGTTTCCAAATGGTCAGTCCGCCCCTGAAACATGCACATTCCCATGCACGCTCTACTAATCGAGCATGATCACATGGAAGTAATTGCATGTATGTGGAGTGTAAAGTACAATTACCCACTAAATTAGACTTGCCCACCTCACGGAATGTAAATCTGTTTATACCTGTACCTAAATGAATAAAGAGTTTGATATAACACAATACAGGAGGTGATAAGTGAATTCATAAGTCCCAGATCTACTTACCAATAACCTTTTGGGCCAACTGTATAGCTGCATCCACAGCACTCCCCTGCACAACTTCATCAACAATACCCAGATTTAGCGCTTCTGTGGCAGGAATGTGCCTTCCTGGAAAATAATTATAAATCAGACCCAAGGTCAGCGTAAGTAAAACAGGGTCCTGTACCCAACTAATGCTGTCAGTAAAGCTCAACTAAAACATTTTACACAGGTCACATCATTTTTACCAACCCACCAAAATAGCAACTTACTAAAATAATATACTGTATATCTAGCTGCCAAACAATTAGCCAGCTGGAGCTCCTCATGAAAGGAAAAACCCCTGCCAGCCAAAGAAGTGGACATAATGTAACTACTCCCCAAAATGTTTATTCCCATGTTTCTTTTAGTTGTGCTTGTGTATGTGGGTATTGTATATATGGAAAGAGAACTGCATATACTGTATAGCATGCATGCCTGAAATATATTGGGATTAAGCCTTAAACAATAGAAAAAAAAATAATGTTTGCTGAGGAAGTTCAAAACTAGCAGAATTATTACCTCTGGGCTAAAATATAAAGGGATAATAAACCATTGTTTGTTCTTTGAATAACAAAAAAATTTAATACTTACCTGCTCTATGCAATGGTTTTGCACAGAGCAGCCCCGATCCTCTTCCTCTGGGGTACTCCTGGCTACTCCCCCCCCCCCCCCCAATTCTCAGTGCTCCCATAGCAAGTGGCTTAGTAAGGTGAATACTCATGCAGGCTTGTTCCAGAGTCCCACTGCCTGCATCCATTGACACAGCTTCCCCCCCACTGCCTCATCATAAGATTTGATAGACAGCAGCAAGAGACAATGACTCTTGTTGCTATTAATCTACCCAGTGAGGAGGGAGAGAGTGGAGAGATGCTGCGCTCATGCACAGCTCTGGCATCAGGATCGGGTAAGTATAAAGAGGGGTGGGGTTTCAGAGGATCCTAAAACACAGAAGGTCTTTTACCTTAATGCAGAATATAACTAAGGACTTTAGAACCTCTCTAACACTTGCCAACCACGCTATGGCCGAATGACAGCTACAGAGCGGTTGTCCAGCTATGGGAGGGATTCATATGACGTCCTCCCATAACATGCCCCCAGTGGCACACACCTGACGCTCTCTGTGATCGCTGTCTCCTACGAACACAGCTGATCACATGATGAGGTAAAAGGCCAATAACGCAGCCTTTTTACCATGCGATCCGCTGTGTCCAATGACACAGAAGATCACAATGTAAATACAGTTGCTGGTTATCAGAAGCACTTTCCTCACGCTGTCACAGCATGAGGAAAGTGCTGCCGATAACGGAAAATGACACAAAGGACATCTGCACCGATCATCCATACCCAGCAGTGCAACCCATCAGTGCTGCCCACCACTTGCGCCCATCAGTGCCCAGCAATGTCGCCCATCAGTGCAGCATCATCAGTAGTTCCGCCTCATCAGAGCAGCCTATCAGTGCCCATCAGAGCAGCCTATCCACGCCATCTCATCCATGCTGCTCATCAGTGCAGCCTCATCAATGCACATCAGTGAAGGAGAAAAAAATTACCTGTTTGCAAAATTTTATAATAGAAACAAAGAATAACTTTTTTTTTTTATTTTTTGCTGGTTTTTTGTTTATAGTGCAAAAATTAAAACAACCCGTGGCGATTAAATCCCACCAAAAGAAAGCTCTATGTGTGAAAAAAAATGACCGCGCAATTGTCATTCAAAGTGTGACACACTGAAAGCTGAAAATTGGCCTGGGCACGAAGGGGTTAAATGTGCCCGGTAGGCAAGTGGTTAAGCTGGCCATATTAGATTTTCAAACAAATGTTCGTAGGAAAATTTCAGTACATTCAATAGTTTCTTTATCAAATTGTTCGACTGTACAGTTTAGTAGAAAGTAGAGAATTTTACAGATAAAAATTTGTGTGCAGCACTGTGTGAACTATTGCATACCCTCTATCCCCTATATTACACCTTAGTTTCTACTCAAATTAAAAGCTCACACTGACACACTCATATAAAATGTACTATACTTAAAATTAAAAATTATATTACCACACTTTTCTCACAATGCAATATCATTAAAACAAAATCTATGTACATCATAAATGCAATACCATCAAGTACAACAACCTGTGTGCCTCATATCTCCAGAATCTCATAAAATATAAGAATATACATCAACTGAAAAATACAATATGAAACAAGTCCCATATATTCAATACAGTCCTTCTGGTGTTCCTTCAGTTTGTGTGATAAACCGCAAAAATTGAAATGTATATACAATTCAGTACACTCAGTGCCTTCTCACTTATTAAATTGTGCACCTCCACCACCACATCAGATGTGCTCTCACCTGGAGCTTTTAACATCACATTTAATGTTTGGTCAAATAGCACTTGTGTCAAGGGTAGATCACATCCTCCATGCAAATCCTGCTCCTCCTTACTCCACCGCTCAGCATAGAAAGTACATAGGCAAAGAATAGTGCTTTATCCTTAAAAACACTTTATTCTGGATTGGTAACACGAGAATGCTGATAGATACAAACAGTACTTACTGTTGATTGTTTTGCTGGCTAAATCTGGTGAAATCAAGCACCAGAGATATGTGAGTGGCTAATTGTAAGTTTTTATGTGGGAATGAAGTGTTTTGAAAGATAAAGCACTATTCATTTCCTATTTACTTTCTATGCTGAGCAGTGGAGTAAGGAGGAAATTTTTTTGGCAAGCATGTCACCAGTGACAATACCACCAGAACATATTCCTCCACTTGACAATATTTTCTCCAACACCACCAGATGTTACAGGACGAAAACTTTACGATGTACTCTCAGGAAAATTGAGGGACTTCATCAGTATAAAAAAAAACAAACAAAATATGCACACTCAGGCTAGGTTTGCACTCATGTGGTGCAGTACATTGCATGTGATTCGCACAGGAACCGCACTCCTGTGCAAATCACATGCGAATTGTGTGCGGTGCGATTTGAGCCATACATTTTGTTAAGTTGCAGGACCCTTTTTTGGGTCTGCACTAGAATCGGATCACATGGGTATTCACACCTATGCTATCCAATTCTGCACATCGCACCGCGTTTTGCGGACCGATTTCAGGGTGTTGTTAACTTAAACACACACACCCGCAGCGGTTCACAGGAACGGGGTGCGATTCTGATGTGGTGCGGAATTTGCACAGAAAACGCTGTGAATTCCGCACCGCATCAGTGTGAACCCAGGCTTAAGCACTACAACGTAATCAATATACTGTATGTGTTGTCATATTAAAAAAGTCACCTCGAACAATCACATCTAGAGCAGCAGGAATGCCTATCAGCCTAGGCAGACGCTGAGTTCCTCCGGCTGCTGGTAGAATGCCAATTAGCACTTCAGGAAGACCAACCCGGGACTGTAATCAGAAATGAATAAAAAAAATTTAAGAATAAAATTTACAACTAACTTTTTGCTTCCATTTTCAATAATAACCAAACAGTACACCTATCACATATAAAAAGGGAGCAACCTTGCTTTGGCTGTAGCTTGGGGTAGCCAGCCTTGCTGGTTTTTTTTTTTAGTGCAGGTTGAGAGAGTCTACATATACAGGTTTATAGGTCAATACAGTCCAAAAAATGACAGTTTGATTAAAAAAAAAAAAAAAAAAAAAAAAAAAAAAAAAAAAAAAAGAAAGTGGTATATGTATAGAAAATTATTACTTGAATTGTAAACTGGTTAGACCTCCCATAATGTTATTCAACTGTATGTATGACTGTAAAGTGCTATAACAATACACATTTACCTGTATGTCTGCCACTCTGTAGTGACATGCCAGGGCTAGCTCAAGCCCTCCACCAAGTGCTATACCTTCAATAGCTGCCACTACAGGCTTCTGGCTAGCTTCAATGGTGCCATTTATGTCTTCTAAAGAGACAGTTTTAATAGCAGAAGTGCCAAACTCCCGTATGTCTGCACCTGGAACCAGAAACAAACCAAACTGTACTGTATGTAAGCAGAAAATCTGTGCAGAGTACCTAGTGTACAACTAGTGACAGTGAGGGGTACACACCTCCAGCAGCCCCTATAAAGCAACAGAAGATCCCTCATCCCACCATTATTATTATACAGTATTTATATAGCGCCAACAGTTCGCTCAGTGCTGTACATTACAATGGGAGACAATACATGAGACAGTACAATAACAATACAGTGCAATACACGAGGGGTTAGATGGCCCTGCTCCTTGGAGCTTACAATCTAGGAGGGAGGGGATAGTGGTACGGGAGGAAAAGCTGTGGGGGATGGAGTGGTAGGAAGAGTGGAGGAGATCGGCAATTAGCAGAGGGCGGGGTAGGCTTCCCTGAAGAGGTGGGTTTTCAGGGTGCGCCTAAAGGAGAGGAGAGAAGGTGAAAGTCTAATGTATTGGGGTAGGGAGTTCCAGAGGATGGGTGATGCCCTTGAGAAGTCCTGGAGGCGGGCATGGGAGGAGGAGACCAGGGAACTAGAGAGAAGGAGGTCTTGTGAGGAGCGGAGAATGCGTTTTTGGTGGTATTTGGATATTAGGTCTGTGATTTAGTTTGGGGCAGAATTATAGACAGCTTTGAACGTCAGTGTTAGCATTTTGAATTTGATCCATTGGGCAATTGGAAGCCAGTGGAGGGATTGGCAGAGGGGGGTGGCGGAAAGGAGCGGTTGGTAAGGTGGATGAGTCTGACCGCTGTATTCAGGATCGACTGAAGCGGGGATAGCCTGTGGTGAGGCAGGCCAGTGAGGAGGGAGTTGCAGTAATCGAGTTGTGATATGATGAAAGGAGTGGATGAGTTGCTTATATGCACACATACATACATACATATACATATATACCAAGCACTGGTAGACTTCATTCTGAACATTTAAATGGATAAGTTCTCATCAAGAATGGTACATTAATGCTGAAGAACTCAATTCACCAGCAGGTAGTACTGCATGTAAACTCTGAAGCCACCCAGTAAAAATTCATGATCTAAGTGAGACGTTATCCCCGATACTACTATAAATTGGAAAACACTGCGGTACTCAAGGGTTCTCACCCCTGCAGGGTGAGGTGCCCCTGGTTAAGTTTGGCCAGAGAAGGCTGATATCCAGTACTCTCTGGATTGCTAAATTGCTATTAGGGACCTGGAATTTCAGAGGTTCAAAGAAACTTGGGTGGGAAGAGCCTCCAAACCCTGACTACCAGAACTTTGGTCCCGAAGGGGATAAGTCCCAGGTAAGGAAGGCTTGAAGGACAGCAGAGGGAAGCAGCACCTGTTTCAGGGAAGTGAGTGGAGGAGAGGCTCACAAGCTGTGTGGCAAGTGTGAGCTCTCAGACAAGCTGAGACACGGGCTACTAACCCCCATGTGCCCTGCCTGGCACCCTTACTATGAAGGAGCCTAACCCTGTATGGGACCGAAGATTGGCAGTGAGCCTGTGGTTTAGTTTTGTGATACTAGGACTTGGGCTGTCTACTGACTTTGGCTGAAATCAGCGGTCTTTTGCTTATCCGTGATTCAAATAAATGAACCGATTTACTTTTACAAAACTGCCTGACGGTCACTCCAGAGCTACCCCAGATCACACAAGAAGCTGAACTGATCATACCTGCACTGAATTTTCCATTGGACCCGTTCAACACAATGGCCTCCACTGTGGGATCTTTGCTGGCTTTGCCAAATTCTTCAACCAATGCATGGCGGACTGATGAGCTAAAACATAGAAAATACAGGATTTACACAGAAATAAAAAATAATCAAGTCCGACCAATACCAAAATATATATTAGGTTAGCTCTCTAAAAGAAACTGAATAATTGGGTTGCAGTTTCAGACCCTGGAAGAGCCGTTAATTTGCAAGACAGCTCATCTCCTAAGCTATATATCAGGAGTAATTTATCTGTACCCACCCTACTTTACAGCATATGTCAAGAGGTTCCATTCCTTTGATGATGTGCGTGCGCATGTAACGCGTAAGGAGGAGCCCTGGACGTCGTAACGCTACGTCGCCGGAGCCACGTGGAGGCCCGGCAGCCATCTTTAATATCGACAGGGTTAGTTCATACTATACCTGGATGCTATTTTAACTTCTAATCGCGATTTGGATACCTTTGAATGTTTACAATAAAGTTCTTTTTGATAACCTACTACACTATGGGCATCCTTCCCTAAACTCCTGAGAGTAGTACTTATTTTCAGACCCAGGCACCATACCAAGAGGTGGAAGATTCCTGTAAACAGGCAGTTCCACCCAGCCAGTCCCTTTGAGGAAACCTCTGGTTACCTGGATCTTATTCTTCTTCACTGAGTCCTGTCATCACACGGAAGGGAGGATTGCCCAGGCTGACCAGACCTTTTTGATGAGGGATTTTATACAACGTCATACCCTTTTTATTTCTGGTGAGTGCACATTTCTATAATTTCCCAAGGAGCACCACCAGTACCTACTAGTTTCTACAGTCACAATTCATAGACTCTATGGACGTTGTTTTGAATTTATTGATTTCTTATATGTTAGCGCTGCACTAATTTATATTAAAGCTGGTAGAGACATCCCCAAAAAGACTTGCAGCTGTAATTGCAGTGAAAGGTGGTTCTACAAAGTATTCACTCAGGGGGGCTGAATACAAATGCACGCCACACTTTTCACATATTTATTTGTAAAATATTTTGAAAACCATTTATCATTTTCATTCCACTTCACAATTATGTGCCACTTTGTGTTGGTCTATCACACATAAAATCCCAATAAAATACATTTTGGTTGTAACATGACAAAATGTGGAAAATGTCAAGGGGTATGAATACTTTTTCAAGACACTGTACAAACATAATGCAAAGCAGGAGCACTAACTATTAAACTATTGTGCTAACATTCTTCTGACTTTCTAGATCTTTAAGCTTGTTTGAGATCAGTGACTCTGAATCTATTGAACTAGATCAACAAAAGGCAGTTTATCTTATGACAGGTCTACTTTGAAAAGAATGTACAATATTTTCACTATTTTATAGCTATGCATTTGAAGGAGACCAGTTTAGGCTCTATTCACACCTGTGATGGTACAACAGCTTGCCAATATTTTCACATGTTCATTTGCAGCACACCCATATTATTTCAGTGCAAAAAAGGAATGCAAGCACCATTTTTTAAAATGACGCAGCAACATGTTACCATGCGTTTTGGCACACAATTTTTCTTGCGCTTTAGCAAGGCGAATTGGGATGCTATTAAGAAGAAATGGCACCACAGCACACTTGCAAAAAAAGATGCACAGTTTACTTACCACAACTTTATCTCACAAATGTGAACAGAGACCTAATATAAACAATCTGACCAGTGTGCTTTAATGTAAAATATTATTTTTGTTACTAAGCAGGGAGACTGATTGCAACAAAATGTAAATCAAACACATAAAAATTATGCATTTCTGATAATATTTATATAAATATATATAACTTGGGTCCATGTTCTAGACTGGTGCCCCCACCCTGTTCCTTACCCACTTGATACAACTTTCTCACCCCTAGGTGGTTCACACCAGACAATACTTCTCAGGGAATAATGATACATGTTTATATCGCCCCAGCCAAACGGTGGGGAATTCATTTCACGCAAAAGTATTACTGTAATCAACTGTGAACCATATTGATGCACATTGTTTTGTATTGTACTAAAATCTTTCAATAAAAACATTTGAAATAAAAAAAATATGCATTTCATTTAATTCTAAGCACCACACCATATTGCAATGTGCTGCAATGCACCGATATTATGTCCAGCCCTGATGCCCACTGCAAAGTCTATGAAAGGCTAAAATATGCTGATGCAGGAAGTGGGCATACATCCCTGAATACATAGGGGTCCTTGACACAGGTACCACTCAGTACAGTGTCCAGTTGCAGCATATTTCGGGCTGTCACAGAATGGCTGCGGGCAGCAGGACTGGACAGAGCACTTGTGCCTCCTGGACATACAAAAACACCAGGACTGGACCCACAGGGGCTAGATGCTCAGTGTGAATGTGGCCTTAGGTAAGCTAAATACTTTAAGAGCCTGTACAAGCACAGATGAAGAACAAAACCAAGGAAACAGATCCTCAGATCACATAACCCAGAGGTTACAGAAATATGAACTCCCTTTGTCCTTGTATTATACACAAACAAGGCATGCTCCAGTCTGCTTAGTAAATACAGAGTTGTAAGAAGTAGGACTGAGCTTTAAATGTGCATGATCATTCATAATGCCAAAAAATGACTTTGTCAGGAGTTACTATGGAGTGATCAGGGGTTATAAGTGTCATGTACAAATGAAGAAGGTTAGTACAATACACAGACGATAGAAGTGGGCACTATGATTACCTGAGAGCATTGACAGGTGGATGATTGATGGTGATCACGGCAACTGTATTCACGAGCCGTCTTGTGGCTGCCATGTTCACAGTGTTCTATCAAGGAACAAAGTACAGCTAAGTAAAGAGGTGAAAAGGCATTGGAAAACCCGCCCCTCTCCCTCAGCCTATCACAGGACGGCCTTAATGACAGCTGTCCAATCAGAAGCTCAGTGGGTGGGACTAGGTTGGTTAGACACAGCACTGCGGGCTCACGTGTGTTGTTTTGTGTTTGTACTGTGTGTGAATTAGACGTGTCTGTAAAATATATTCAAAGCAAACAAAGCCCAAAAAAACAAAGATGTAATATATTACAGCTTACCGATCCTTAGATGCATTAGCTGCATTCCTTTTTTTACATCGTTTCCCTTTGTTTCTTCCTCTTTGTGTTTATATGGTGTGTGAATTGTACGTGTCAGAGTATGTGTAAGCTGGGACTTGTAGTTCCACAGGCACTGATCTATTTCTTTAGTAACACAATAGAAGTGTCCGATGAATATTCTCTATGTAACAGTATTACTATGGGGACTTTGTGATATTTTTACATTATACCACGCTTAGTCACTTTGCTTTTCTTTTATGTGTTGTCATGTCAGTTCATTTTGGTCTATTTACTTTATACCACCACCCAGGGGTGGACTGACAACTCATGGGGCCCCCAGGTAATTGGGGATCATGGGGCCCCTTTGTCCTTGCCCACACTCAAAGCACACCCAAAAAAAAGCCTATAAAAAAGGTACCAGGGGCATTTCATGGGGCCCCCTACTGACCCTGGACCCTCGGGCAGTGCCCAGGTGCTCGAATGGTCAGTCCGCCCCTGCTACCACCATATTCTTCCTTCCCTTCCTGTATTCGGGTAAAATCTGAGCTGTGCTAAAAAAAAAAAAAACTTGGCAAAATCTATTTAAAGCAAACAAAACCCACAAAACAAAAATGTAATATATTGCAGCTTCCTGATCCTTAGATGTGATTGTAGCCTCCTAGATTGTAAGCTCGAAAGAGCAGGGCCTTCGAACCTGTTGTATATTGTTTTGTTACTGTATTGTCTCATGTACTGTCCCCCACTATATTGTACAGTGCTGAGCAAACTTTTTGGCGCCATATAAACACTGTATAATAATAATATAATAATAATGTGATGGATGCATTCGTTTTCTTTTCTTTTTTTCTTTTTTTTTTTAGTTTTTTCCCCTTATTTCTTTCTAGTGATCCTGCCAGTAACACACCTCGTGTCTTATGGACGGAGATTTACTTAAGCTGGTTCACTCAGAATCTCTTGCACCTGTGCATGGTAGGCAATCAGCTTTTAACCTCAGCTTGATCAATTAAGTTTTAGCCTTGGTTCACACTGATGCGGTGCAGAATTCGCAGCGTTTTCAGTGCGAATTACGCACCGCGTCACAATCGCATCCCGTTCATATGAACCAATGCGGATGTGTATGTTAACAACACCTCGACATTGGTCCACAAAATGCGGTGCGATGTGTAGAATCAGATCGCAAAGGTGCGAATACCTATGCGATCCAACTCTAGTGCGGACCAAAAAATGGTCCTGCACAGTTTTGGTGTGGGTGCGATGCGAATAGAGCCATGGCTCTAATCGCACTGCATACAAATCGCATGTGATTTGTACAGGAGTGCGGTGCGGTTCCTGTGCGAATCACATGGGATTACTACTGCACTGCTGTAGTGTGAACCTAGGTTAAGCAATAAAACCTGGAAGCTGATTGGTTTCCATGCAGAAGTGCACAAGATTCTGAGTGAACCAGCTTTAGTAAATAAACCCCATGGTGCAGGGGCGGACTGACAACTCATGGGGCCCCTGGGCAATAGGGGATCATGGGGCCCCTGTGTCCTTGCCCAAACTCAAAAAAGCCTATGAAAAAGGTACCAGGGGCATCTCATGGGGCCCCCTACTGACCCCGAGTTTCCAAATGGTCAGTCCGCCCCTGCCATGGTGTCTCCATTCTGGATGAAGTAGCAAAGCAGAGACCTTTGGACAGCATAATTTTCAGTCTGGGGAGAGGGTAGCGTAAAGCTGCTTTCACACTGATCCATTTTTCTTCTGCTTTTTCCTTAAAAAAAAATCAGAAGGAAAACGTGTTGCCATGTAATCCTATGGAACTCATACTGATCCCTTGTGGGCCAGCTGCATTTTTTAAAATCCTGCTTGCTGCATTTTTGGTGCAGTAAAAAAAACTGCACCAAAATCGCACCTCCCCATCGAAGTCAATAGAAAATTAGTCAAAACCGCACCTACATTGTATTTTTGGTGTAGTTTTGAGTCACATGTCCTGTAAAAAAAAAAAAAAGCACCACAAATGTGGTAAAAACGCATATGCATTTTTGCAGCACTTTTGCTACAAATCAGTGTGAAATACTATATAAACCATTACAGCAACAGTTTTTTCCTTTTAGGATAAAGGTTTATACATAAATGAATAAAAGCTGATCATTGTAAGCACCCCTGTCAGTGTTAAATGGTTTGTCTCAAACATCTAACTGCTACTTTTCTGGACATATTGGTCTGTTAAAGGAAGTTGAAAAATAACAGACTTACTGGTGGAATTTCCAGGTGAAAATAATAATAATAAAAAAAAAAAACCTTAAAAAATAAATCTAATGCAACTGCCACATTTAGGGCTAATTCACAGCCGAACGCAGTGCCAGAAAAGCGCATTCTGTGTGTGTTTCCCGAACTGCATTCAAAACACACTGTCTTTGGGATCTGCTGCAGGGGCCGATACATTGTTAACAGCACCCCAAACACAGACTGCAAATGCAGTGCTTGTAGACACCAGATCACATGGAAAACAAAAACAGGACGGAAAAAGTGCCAAGGATCCTTATGTCTCCTGTTTTTGTTTTCACAGAAGCCAGTCCCCCCAAATCTATTCAGAAGACGGCAGCCTAATGTAGCCAGTTCATTTTATTTGCCTAGGGTCCTGCTACACCTCTGGGATTTAACACACCATAAGGCTAGATTCACTCCTATGCAGTTTGTATTTGATCCGTTTCTGCAGTGCGTTTTGTGCTTTTGCACATGCGTTTTTGCTGCGTTATTGATGCGTTTTGTAATTTTTTTTCTTGTTGCTAGGCGGATTAAAACGCAAAAAAACACATCACATGCTTTCCTGCAGCGTCTCCATTGAAGTCTATAGAACCAAAAATGCAAAGTTTTGCATGTAAAAAAGTCCCTGACCCTTTCCAAAAAACGCACCAGGTAAAAACACGAAGATATCAATGTGTCCCATTGGAAATCAGGTTAAATGGACTACGCTGCAGAAAACGCATAGGTGTGAACCTAGACTAAGTGTTTGTATATTACTGCTGTGATGTCTTTTTATGATACAATTTTTTTAATCTAACGAGCCAGGTTACTTAGTAGCCAATCTTTGGCTAGTAATCTAACCCTTTTTTTCCTCCTTTCATGATCTGTTTTGGATACGTGCGCCACGGGCAATTTTTTTATCTGATCACAGTAGTATCATGCGATTTGATGCGGCACATTTTTCAAAACTGGTACATGCATTTATGCGTTCTGGTGTGATTTACACTGCAGGGGGGCGCACAGGGATTGCACAGGAACATGGACTGCATTCTGTTTGATTCCGGTGTAAAACTATAATCAAAATAAAAAATGACATATATGAGACAGTTTGTCACTAGCATTAACACAGCAGTCTTTGTTTTTCTTAGTCTCCTCTGTAACATTCTTTATTACCTGGTGATCTGGCCAGTATGTCTAGTATTTTTCAGCTTTTATTAAGAGCACATTTACACTAGTGGTTGATGGGCGGGAAAACCCCGTGGTGGAGCCTCATTTTTACTGCCCCTCAACTTCTCTCCCTTTAGCTGCAGATGCAGCAGCCAATGATGTACACATGATGTGGTCGGAATGCTTTACTTCATCGCCACAGCAGAAATTATACTCCCTGTCATTTTTGGCGGGTGTAGCACCTACTCATCAGATCATCCCCCACAGTTATTATCTTTTGTATTGCTTGACCCGCTCCCTTAAATTGTAAGCTCTGACAAGTATGGCCCTCTGATTCCATCCGTATTAAAGCAGAGTTCCACTCACCTTGTAAAAAAATAAAAGTCAGCAGCTACAAAAACTGTAGCTGCTGACTTTTAAAAAAATAGACACTCACCTGTCCCTTAGTCCCAGTGTCCTCCCCCCAGCCTGTTTCACCGGCTGTCCAGTGTTCCCAGTGTTGGCATCTTCAGTGTGGGCACCCAGCTGTGACAGCTTGCTGATTCACAGCCAGGCACCCACTGTGCATGCACGAGAAGCGCTGTGCTTTCTGAATGGGCCCATAGTCTTCTGGGACCTGTCACATGTCTCAGAAGACCATAGGGAGGGAGGGGGAGGAGGACAACTTCCACTTCCGATTGCCTAGGCGATCGTAATGGAAGTGGGAGTGGGTACCTGTCAATTTGGGGTACCCACTAACCAAAGGTGCCAATCCTTAATGGGGAGTGGGGGACCTGTCTTTAAAGCAGAACTTCCCCTTTTGGGTGGAGCTCCGCTTTAAATTGTTATGCAATACTGTTTGCCCTCATGTAGTAAAGCACTGTGCAAACTGTTGGCACTATATAAATCCTGTATCACAATCATTTCAAAAGTCATTTGGAAAGTGGAAGAAAAGCCTAACTACTTTATAACTATTCGTATTAATGTTCCTTCCCCCCTCCTTCTACCTATCATGCACACCCTGTAAAAAAAAAAAAGATATGCATACTTACTTCTTTTTAGCACGTGATCTTGCAGCTCCAGCTCAGCTATGTCAAGCTGCTGCAAGGGAGAGAAGGGAGCACCAACTTGTTGGAACTGCAGGATCATGTGACTGGGCTGAATTAAAAAAAAAAGTTAACAATACAGATCTTTTTTATACAGATTATGAAGGATAGGTGTTGGGGTGGGGCATTTTTCGAATAGTTAATATTCGAATAGTTATTATTCGAATAGTTAAGGGTTAGTTTACCTTTACCAAAAACTGCCTATGCAGATAAAGGATGTCTGTAGATAAAAAAAACAAACTGTGCAGCTT